TTTTCTGTTGGGGAAGCTTTGTTGGCTCTCATGGGGATCATCGGCTCAGTGAAGGAGTCCCTTGTGAAGATACTTGTCCAAGGAGATTTCTCCGAGTATTTGGACGATAGAAACATGCACTGCACTGCCCGTCTTGCTGATATGTTGAGCCAATTCTCAGGTGATCTTCAGAAGCACTACCCAAATAACAGTTCTTCTGATAATGGATTCTTGATGGACGAAATCAAGGTGCTCGAGGAATGCAAATCAGTTGGATTGCCTAATTTCCTACCGAGATCGGCCTTTTTAGCTATCTTTATAAAACACATAGAGGGAATTCAGAGCAGGCCGGTGGATTTCATGAGGGAAACATGGGAATACATCGATGGCATTCTATCGTCAGTCATTTCCAAACACTCAGATAGCTTCCCCCAGATTCAGCAATCCATCAGAAGGGCGGGCCGAAATCTGATCTGCAAAATGAAGGAACGATCAGTGAACCGTGTGATAGAAATGGTGGAGACTGAGAAGCAGACGGATTATACTTGTAACCCTGAGTATATATCCTCGTGGAACAAGAACATAGCTCAACAAGGTAGCTTCATCAAATCCGTTAAGGATGGCCGTGATGCCTGCGACTTACCTGAATTCGGTACCGTGAAGATTTCGCATCTTAGGGTTCACGGTGATTTGCTGCAGCAGGCCTTTGATTTGAAGATGAGGATCACTGCTTACTGGACGATTGTCCTGCTAAGGATTGTCGACAACGTTGCTCTGCACCTGCGATTCTCGGTGATCAATTTGGTCGACAAGGAGATGGAGAAGGATATCGTTGCGGAAATGGTGGGTACCGACGGGAATGGCGAGATTCTGAGGATGCTGGTGGAATCTCCCGCGGTGGCAAGCAAAAGAGAGAAGCTGAAGAACAGTATCAAGCTTCTGAAGGAGTCGAAGGATGTATTGGCTGCCATTGTTGATCAGAACTCTGTTTAGGGAGATCGTTGAGCTTTTGGGGTTTTAGGGTTTTAAGCTTCTGATGGTTTTATGTTGTTGGGTCTTTTTCTTTATCTCTCTGTGGTAGTGAATCCACATCGTATCGTTTTCCTCCGTTTCTAATGAAAGCAACTTTGATTTGAAGAACTGTGAATTCCAGTTACGTTAGATACAAGTTTCCTTTTTTTTTTTTT